GCATGATATATACTTTGGGGGGAAATTTCTTTGGACACATGCACTGATTTTTTTTTTTGTCTCCTACTCATGTTGTACTAGTCCCTCTTTAAAAGCCAGACTGTGAACCCCTTATTCACATTGATTAACTGTTGATCACACAAGTAGTCCCATTAAAGACAATAGTAAAACTCACAACGTTTTCAGTGGGGCCATGATTACATCCAGTGAGTCTACTAATACACATAACTGCTCATTAGTGGGACAAATGAACATGGGCTCTAACTAAATCAGTGGTTCTCAAATTTTTGTACTGATGACCCCTTTCACATAGCAAGCCTCTGAGTGCGACCCCCCCTTATAATTTAAAAACACTTTTTTATATATTTAACACCATTATAAATGCTGGAGGTGAAGGGCGATTTGAGGTGGAGGCTGGCAGCTCGCGACCCCCTGAGGGGTCCTGATCCCCAGTTTGAGAACCCCTGGACTAAATGATCTACATGACAATAAGTGCCAGCATTGCCCATGTATCATGAAACTAGTCCACTAACCTCAAGTCAATTTCCCCTTCTATCTGTTTCATGGAGATTGCATAATTATGAAATCCAATTTTTTAGTATATACACAAAGCTTCCAGCCTAATCTGCAAGGAACCTGTATACATTTCAGTCTGACTAGTTTTATAGCCAACATTACAAGCTTACAGTAGAACCTCAGAGTTATGAACTGCCCAGTCAACCACACACCTCATTTGGAACCGGAAGCACACAATCAAACAGCATCATATACCAAAAAAAGAGCAAATACAGTACAGTGCTGTGTTAAACGTAAACTACTAAAAAAATAAATAACGGGAAAGCAGCATTTTTCTTCTGCATAGTAAAGTTTCAAAGCTGTATTAAGGTAATGTTCAGTTGTAAAATTTTGAAACAACCACCATAAAGTTTTGTTCAGAATTACAAACAACCTTCATTCCCAAGGTGTTCATAACTCTGACGTTCTCCTGTAATTATTTTACAGTGTATCTGCATCGTCATACCTTTTCAGTACAGAAAGAGGAGAAAATGATTAAGATGGGAATTTGAGCTTTTGGAAACTCCGATCAAAATGAGGCACAAACTCTTTTGTGCTTAAATAGAACAGTAATTTTTTTTTCTTTCAAGTCTAATTTATAGTCTTATTTTTGCCAAAAATTGTCAGGTGGAATAAAATATAGATACCAAAAACTTCTAACAATTCTGACAACAACAACCTGACAATATTCATACAGCTTCTGCAGAACTTTCTATTAAACACACAAAAACTATTACTACAAAAAGAAAAAATATTGTCAAAAAAATCCTCAAATGAAGCTGAAAAGCTTCAAGACAGACATTTTTATAAAATTTGAAAATAACTGGGGAGAGGAGAAGGACAGAAAATCCCTCTGCTATTAGATGCAGAAAATGTCATTTCTGCTCCCTATGAAGTTGCATGAAATTCAAAAGGATCATACTGAGAAACTGAGAAACACTGAGAAACTGACATTTGTGGCACAAAAATGTTTTAGACACAGAAAAGTTTACCTAGATGTCATTTTTCAAAAATGTATAGTTTATTAAATAATAGAAACACTATTTAAAACAGGAGAACATTTATGTGGGGTGGAGGAAGTTACTGAATTACATCAACTAGAACTCTAATTAGTAACACTGAAGTGACAGATATGTTTGTAAATTCTCTCTTTTTTCCCCCGAAAAGTTTAGGACAGCGCAATGGTGTCACAAGTTGTTTACTTGCATCCCAAACTGCTACTAATGGATCAGTCACAGAATAATTAAGCAACCACAAAGTGCTTACATTCGTTAAAATTTCAAATGTGTGTCAAAGTAACTAAAGAAAAAACATATCCCTCAGGCCCAATATTGCAAGCATTACTCAGACAAAGCCTCCATTATCTTCATGTAAAGGCAAAAAATAATTAAAGGAGGGAAATGTTTGTTTTAGATTGTATAAAGCTGTTTTATTTGATGATTTGGAACTATTAAATACGGATTTTAAAAAGCATGTACACTGCATATATTCCTTTAAAAATGAGCAGACAGTGTACTCAGCAAGCCTGGCTGATAGTATTATGTTAAATCATTTATCTTCAACAAATCATTTATTTTCATCACAGCATAATTAAACCATCAGCAATGGTGTTAAAAAAATAGGTAAAATTAGACAAACTAGCAATAACAGTTTCAATGCCCAATATATGAATTTTCTGAGTGGCTTTTTCTCCCTGTCAGAGAATACAAGTGAGAACACATGAAAAATAACTTTAAAAAAGTCACTTTCTTAACTTTTTAACAGCATTATTAATTGGTTTGTCCAGGTAGAAAGCTATCATACCATGCCAACCATTGTATAGAAAAATTACTGCGCTGAAGAACTATGTTACTACAAAGAATTTTTTTGATGGTGTGTAGAGAATTATAATGAGAAAACTCCAGGTTATTAATAAATAATAATAATATAATATACCACCACAGGTATTCCTTGAGCATTACAACAAATAGAAGAAAGTTCCCAATCCTAAAGAGCTTACAACTAAAGAACCAATCCATCCTACAATTGTGATTTTCCTGCAAAAAGGACTACGATTTTTCTCCACTGCCTTTCATCTTGTGTAGTAATTTACTACTAAAAGTACAATGTATATATAAATTGCTGGCATTATGACTAGGTAGCACTTTAGACTACTTTGCACAGGTCCACATTTTTTTCAGAAGGCTGAAGAGAATCAGTTCCATTGCTGCTTTTCTTTTTGAAGAAAGGAGATAGTGATTATCCCCACTGAGAATGGGAGCAGAGTTTAGTGGAACAGAGAAGGGGTTTGACTCTAAAACCAATCGATCTCAAGAGGCCACCAGAGGTCTGTGCCTCTGAACTGCCTCCTGTCCACCAGGGAGCCATATTCCTACCATATTCCTACCTACTATTGCATCCGATGAAGTGAGCTGTAGCTCACGAAAGCTCATGCTCAAATAAATTGGTTAGTCTCTAACGTGCCACAAGTACTCCTTTTCTTTTTGCAAATACAGACTAACACGGCTGTTACTCTGAAACCTGTCATATTCCTACCATGTCCCTCAAATGTTGTCACCCTCCACACTGCCCTTCAGGGGGATGGCATATCACAGTGAGTGAACAGGTCTGAATTCCATCCCGTTCCCATCTGTGGAACTTGTCTGAGTTTCCTATGCTTCTGGACAGCATGTCACTGAGCAAGAACTGTCCATACATACCACATCCCTCTCCTCTCCCTGTACATATCTTATCCTGCTTGCTCGTTTCCACAAGTGGAAACAGTGGGGAACAACTGGCCATAGAGTAGACACAGCAGACCAAGGAATGACAAAGGATACGGAGTTACATTATGTGCGTAGCTTTCATTATAAAATATGTTCTGTGTGACAAATTTAATTATAAAAACAGAGAAAATGACAGAAATAATGCCTGCTAAAAACAGACCTGTTAAAATTATGTGTGGTGAGAATGTATATTTCACACACCAATGCACTATAAAGGTCATGCGAATTCAAAGAGGAAATGAACGTTATACTAACATTCAAACAAGCTTCCCTCTAGTTATTTGATTTCAAATAACTCGATTGCAAAAGTATAGTTTGTTTTAAAAGGGAAATTCAAAAGCATTTAGAGATGCTACAATGTAAGCAAGCACGGAAAGCAGAAATCCAGTTCTGTCACCTAGCTGACTGTCTTTACCGTCTTTAACAATGTTGTCTTACTACCATAGGCTTAGTCAGCCTATTATAAATTTGTTTGTAAAAACATCAATCAAATCTACTTCCTGCTTTGTCCACATGCTGCTCTAGCAGCTCTCCTACAGCTAAAAGAAAAGGAGTACTTGTGGCACCTTAGAGACCCCTACAGCTGTTTCACTATTCTATTCTTTCCTCCTCTAGCAATCTCAGCAACTGTCAAGAGTGTCCACCTGCATCCTAAAAAGGCACCACATGGATGACATTTTGCCTCATAGGAGTGGTGGTACAAAAATCCTTGTACACAGTAAAACCACACAATTTACTTTAATCTGTAATAGCTTTGCTACTCACAGAATGTTTAAACTCTTAAAAAGCAATTTATCTATCCATCTAGGTATTAATACTGACCCAACATTACTTCACCACCAGTTCTCTCAAACATCCTGGCGCCAACATAGCTACAACAACACTGCAAATACCATATTCTATTAGCTTATGAAACAGCCTCTGCAAGTAGCATCCTGCACGTATTTCCTCCTCCCAGACAAATAAAAGAATCTGTATTCTGTTAGATGCATGCAATCCTACTAATTCCAAAAGGGTTACTAGATCTTGGCCCAAAATATTTAAAACTTGAGGGGGAGTATTAGTCCCCTAATAAAGCATTGTTTGAGGACTTTCATTTCCTGATAAACAGCTGTTATTTTGCATGTCCCTGTTGTTCCTCCCCCACAAATGAACATGGGGCATCATGACAACCCTGTAAGAGATTCTGCTTCTGGATGTCAGCTATTTCTTAGAAGCTGCTGTCATTCTGTACATCCTATCCTTTTAACACACGATGCAGTATTTCTGGATTGTCATTTCTCTCTCTCTCACACACACACACACACACACACTCTTAATCTGCAAAGCCTGTCCAGGCATATTTTTCACATAGGTCTAAGGCACTCCTTGGAACCTACAGCACTTCCTAGAATTTTCAGAGACAATGGTGATCGTGTGGTTTTTGCATATGAAAAAAAAAATCCATTTAAAAAACAAAACAGGGAGGGGGAAAAAAAAACAGGTTATTAAACCTCAACAGGAGTGTGGCATTTCTTTTAAAAAAAGCTGGGTTTTGAGTTATGGCTTCCCCCATCCCAGCCCCCGTCTGCCTCCCCCCTCACTTGTGGAAATATTGCTACCTCTTTTCATTCTGTGTGCCATGCCTTTTCTTTTTGCTGACATATTTTTACAATGTTGGCTTTTGGAAGCTATACTAACCTGTTAAAATTGTTTGTTAAAGATGACTAAAACGTCTCCTTTCTTCCAATACTGCAAAAGGTCATTGGTTTTCCTCTATAAAACAGTCTCCATGAGAATTATTACCAGAGGAACTCAAAGACTGCCTGTTTGGAAGAGGAAGAATATTCATGATGTAATGTTCTGAGGAAATCCCTAATCCACCTCAAAAAAGGTGCACTTATCAGAAATTAATGTGAACACTTCTGACATTTAAAAAAAACTTCACACTTCTTTCATACAACAAAATGAATCAAAGCACAACTGGACTTTGTAAAACATGAACGAACTGAAATTAAGTTGGCCTCAGACATCTGAAATTTTAGGCAAATAAAACACTGCAATATTTTTGAATTCCTTCTTGGAAAGCCATTTAGACACACAGGCTGCCACCTCAACAGAAAGTTTCAGGAGATGGGCCTTGGCAGTTCAAGTTTCCAGTTACATGTTTTGTTTCATCCACTCACTACTCTATTAGTCACACTGAATTCTTAAGAGGCCAAGTTTATTGAATCAAACAATTGATGAAAAGCCAACAGGCAACATGACATTTACTGTGGCATGAACAAAACGATATAGGTCAGCGAGACAAATGGACCTGACATTAAGTAGGAACTAACTGAAGATTAATGAATCATGAAACATCCAATGCACTCATGGCTGCTACAACTTTCTCCCTAACCCCTCCCATGTATACACGCACATATTCCCCTCAACTAAGCTTTCAAGACCGCAATCAATCAATCTAAGCACCCGGTGGTTTGCTAACTTACTGCAGTGCGATGCAGAACGGGCAAAGGTGCACCTCTGGAGAGAGAGAGGGATCAGCACACCAGAGAGCAGCAGCAGCTGATCGTCTATCCGGATCATTGCAAATACACAGTCTCTGCCACCGCCACCTCTCTCGCAGGCTGCGGCAGCAGAGCCCCTAACCTTGCTCCCCACTGAACAGCACAACACCGGCCTCCGGAACAACTGCTAACCGCAGCTTCTCTCCCAGCCCCGGCAGAAGATGAACCCACCTCTCCAGTTAACCGCGCACCTTCACTGCGCTGCTCTTGTCCCGGGAACAGGCAACCCCAAGCCCTGCCGTGCATTGTATGCGGGCTTTGTACCAGCAAAACTCCCACCCCCTTTGGTGGGGGGGAGGGTCTCACCCAGAAGCGCCCAATAAAGCCCAGGGATTGCTCAAAGCCAGCCCGACACCAGCAAAGCGGCGGTACCTGTTGGCCGGCAGCGGCGTTTCTCCTCCGGGGCTGCGTCTGGGCTGGCGGTGCGCGCTCGCTGTGCGGAGGCTGGGGGGCTGACCTCGGCGGGCGAGCCCCGGCCCCGGCGTCTCCGGCTGCTGGGTCTCCTCAGGAGGAGGTGCGGGAAGGACTCCGCACAACGCCGCCGCCGCTGCTGCTGTTAGTGAGGAGGCGGCGGCGCCGGCGGCAGCTGCTCAGTCCCCTCCCCCAGGTGAGAGGAGCGGCTGCCGCGGCGTGGGCAGCACTCACCTAAACTTCACCGATTCTTCCCGCCGGGGGCTGTCGCTTCGCTCCAGCCGGGGGCGGCGGCAATCAGCCCCGTGCCGGGCTCCCCTAGGTAGAGGCTGCGGACTGGCGCGGCGCACGGGGGTGCGCGGGTGTCGGTGCCTCTCGCCGGGCATCTCCGTGGGGCTCCGCGTGTGGGCTGGCGCCCTGCGTCCGCGTGCAGCCCCGGGCGCTGGCTGCCTGGGGGCACCAGCTCTGTCGGGCAGCGCGTGCGTGCAAACGAGCAAACGGTGTCAGCCACTGGGAGCTCACTGGGCAGTGGCCGTGGGTCTGTCAAAGGTGGCATGCGTCTGTTTGGCTACCTCTTCCAGCGTGTGTGTGTGTGTCAGGGTGTCGCTCCCTTCCCCTACGCTGGGACCTCAGGCTTTCTGCTCGCCCCAGGCTCTGGCTACTTGCCTGCAGCCAGACCGAACATTGCACCTGTGCCCAGTGCCTCAGGACCAGCTCAGTCACCAACGTACCTTCTCCTGCCACAAGACCCCCCCGCCCGTCTCAGCCTGACCTACCTTGCCCTTACACTGGGGGATGTAGATACCTTCATCAAGCTTCCGCCAATAAAGTTCTGCCATGCACTGCCCCATCTGTTCCCCCACTTCCTTCCCTAGCTATGGGTCTCAAGTCAGCACCCAAGGGGGTATTTATTTATGGAGTGGTAGGCAGCAGTAAGGACTTTAGAAGAATTTGTGAATAAATTTTGAGAGAGACAATGGAACGCTTTTCAGAGCAAAAATTAGACTTAAAGGCCAGTCTTGTCATCCCCACAACCAGAGGCCTTCTTCCTTTTCTACCTACTTCACCTTCGGCCATCCTTATTTCCCACAACACACACCCCTACCTCCCTTAGTGAAATAGAAGCTGTACAGAAAGTGTCTCTTCGTTAATCCCAGAGCATAGTTTATTATTAAAACATCTCTCCCCCATCCTCAGAACCAATGCCTAAAGGACAGGAAATAGATTAGGGTCAGATCTCACACTGAAGTTAGTGAGAGTCTTTCCATAACAAGAGCTAGATAGACCTGGATTAAAGGACTTGATCTGAAAAGGTGTTGAGAGACCTCTGAGTGGTGCTAATACCCTGTTCTCCCATGTGAAGTAACTCCCACAACTCATTCTGAGCATGATAAGGTCAGGCTGATGTAAACAACTATTTCCAACATGCCAGAGCACCCCCACCACACACACAAAACTGGGGGGGGAGGTGAGTCTCAATGAATTTGGTGACAGTCTCAGTCAGACTAACTTTTCAACTGCAGCCAGTGATGCAGATAAAAGGTGGCAAAAACTGAAAGTAGACATTTCCTATGTCCATACAACAATTTACCTCAGGTACACTGCTAGTCCCTGTCACCTCTTCTATATTCAAGACATTGATTTCCATTTTAATACACTATTTCAAGGAGATTTTTCTCACTCAAAAATGGAATTTGGCCCTGACATAAACCAACCGAAAGGCAAAAATCCTAGCTTTAGACAAGCCGTATGAGTTGAACAATTGCCTTCAAACTTCTCAAAAAGAAAATGTATGCACTCATGCAGACAAGAAACAAAACGAAGGAAGACAATGAACACACCATTCACAAAAGATGGAGGGGCAGACTGCTTGTGACAGAAGACAGTATGCAACTAACAAATATTATGTGGATCTACTTAATGGAAAACCCTTGATAGGCTGTGAATGATCATTATAGATGTCAATGACCTGAGGGAGCATCAAGGCTGCACTGCTGAAGATGGCATTTGGAAAAGCAGCAGGTCCAAGTCAAAATCATGGCAGAAGTGATCGAAGCCTTGACAGAGGTTGGCACATGCTGGTTCATGCAGTTTGTTCACAAGGGAAAGAAGAAAGTCCACACTGGTACCAATATACAAACAAAAGGGTAACTGTAGCAAGACACATTGGCCTTCCTCCAAACCTGACAGTGTGAGGCCACTACTCTCCCCCTGGACATAGCAGGAAGTATAAAAGGCAGGCCCTGCAGCTCATTTGGGCTAGAACCAGACATCTTCAGCCTGCTGCAGAATGCCAGAGACAAAACTGCATTGTGCAGCGCCTAGCCCCCAGGAGACTGACTATGGAGAAGACATGCCAGTACTGTCGTCAGCCATGTACCCCAAGGAGACTGAGGACCATTGGACTAGGGAGCCCTACACCCAGGCTATGGTAGGAAGTAGCTCAGAGAAACCAGATTTTAGTTTGGTTTTGCTGCCGGAGAGTGAAACAGTGTGTTTTGGTGGGATACCCGCTGACCCAGTGGCAGAACCATCCAATATTGTTAGGGCCCTGGGCTTGGACCGGGTCCCCCTACCACCAATCCAATCCCCTCGGGTGGCGGCAAGCTCCCCATGGCCGGAAGGTCTGTGCTGTGTTTTTGGCTTGTCCCAGCCAGAAGACCGTGGAGACCCAGACGGTGTTTGTTTGCTGCCTTAGCAAGGAGGCTTAGGCTCCCTGCTCTGCCCAGCCCAGAGGGCCAGATCCTGATTGCCACCTCTTCTGGCCCAGAGTCTTGGGCTAGAGATTGCTTACTGCTCTGCCCTGCTCAGAGGGCCAGAGCCATAGACTGCTAATTGACCCTTTGTTGCCTGACGCAGTGAGACAGAGTGGCCTCCCTCCAAACCTGAGACCGGGGGACCACTACAGGAACACACGACTGTTCAAAGCACTAAGAAATTAAGCGTTGTCCTACTGCATGAAACTATTGTAGAGTATTATAGCCACATTCACTGAACGAATAGCAGAGCCCATTCTAGGAAAGAAGCAGTTTGGTTTTAGAAAAGGAAAAAAGGATAACAGATCATACGGTCAGTGCTAGATAGTTGGTGGATAAGAAGCCAGAAGGAAACATCGAGCACAGTTGGGCTTTCCTCAATTTGGAAAAACCATTTGACAAAGTACCTAGGTGACTGCTCATTCCTCTGCTACAATTGTATAGGGTACCAGAGGATCTTGTCCAGATGTATGATGGTTCCATGACAAAAAAAGTGTGGATGCCCTTTGGCATCACAGAGGTTTTTGAGACGAAGATTGGGCTCCACCGGGCACCAGCACTTAGCCCAATACTCATCATTGTGATGGGCTTGATAAATTAGCAAATCCAAACAACAGGAGGTATGAAATTGATCTATGCATATGATATTACTAATGACCCATTGTGAGGAAGATTTGGTCCTGGTGATGGATGCCTAGAACAATGAACTAACAAACTATGGTCTCACAATGAGGAAAGAAAAGACTGAAGTGTTTGGGGCAGAACCAAGACAGATGAATATCAATATGAGGGCCAACATCTAAATCAGATTTCTGTGTTTAAGTATCTTGCATGCTGGTTAGCAGCAAATGGAGAAAATTGACAGAGAACTGCAAGCAAGGCTGATGAGCGCCTGGTGGTTTATGATAAACAGACACCTAGACTACTTAAGGGACAACTATACAAAACACTGGTAAAACAAGCTCTTCTGTAAGGATCAGAAACATGGGCAACCAAAGAGGTACTTAAGACCTGAAGCCATAAAAATGAGAAGTTTGTGGGCAATGAGAACAGTGACTTTGTGAACCACAAGCAGAATGATGTCATCAGAAGTCAGACCAGGTGTAACAGTATGGCACCTACCTCTCACGAGTACCCCTTCTGGTCAGATGTGTCTGCAGTCTTTAACAGTTCCAGCTCTGGTATCGGGCCATACCCCCTGGGGTTCCTCCCTGGAGGCAATGATTTCACCCTCTCTGGGCCCTTCTGGCCCCAGCTCTCCAGCTAGGCCACTAAGTAATTCAGATCCTCTTCTGGGGGTTTATCACTGTCCAAATGTAGGCCACTTCTCCAGTGGCCTATGGGGGTGATCTGGGCCTGCCCACTACTGGGTCCCAGCCCAGGGACCCTAAGAATAACAGTCACATGCCACTGTGTCCCTTTAATGAAACTGCTTTCAGCCCCTGGGCCACTTCCCTGCAGTCCCCACCTTCACCCTTACCTCAGGACTCTTCTATGTTCAAGTTCAGCAGCCAGCCAGGAGCATTCTCTCACTCCTCTGTTCCCTGCCAACACTGAGCTGTCCAAGGTGCTGTAGTCCTTCCACCCACTAGGAGCACCTGCCTTCACTCCTCAGGCTCCAAGCAGCAACTGACTCCGGTCAGCACTGCAGCTCCTTTTATTCTAGCCTGCAACCCTCTGACTGGCAAGCCCTTGGCAGCCTCCCCTGATTGGCTGCTTCCTATGCAGTCTCTCTAGGCCACTTGAAGGATTTAATTCCACTGCTCCTTTCCTGAGATGGGTGTGGCAGGGACCTCTGGGCCTAGTCCACCAGGTCACACCGGGGTCTGTGGTATCATACATAAATTGCATGAGAGGAAGCTGAGATGGTATGGACATGGATGAAGGGAATCCAATTTTAAAAAAACTAATGGGAGCTTAGGTCCAAATGATCATGACTTGATCACGTTTATAATGTGCAAACAAAGTCCAGACCAATAATATATATATTTGGTGCTTTAAAATGGTCAATTTCACAAAACTGAAAACAATTATGACCCATATGAGCTGGGAGAAAGAATTTAATCAGAAAAATGTGAATGA